TATATATATATATATATATAAACAAAAATGTTTTAATCTCTCAATATTCTCCATCCCCTCTACTGCCTCAACAAAGCTGTATTGTAAATTATAAACATGTTATTCACATCTAATTGTTGGTAGGGACAAGTAGGTCGGTCCAAATGTTGGTAGGGACATGTCCCTATGGTCCTTATGCAAACCTACGCCCATGGGGTAGGCAGTAGCAACTTGTTTATAAGCAGAACATTTTGCTCAGCTTAACAACCACCGTCTGCTCAAAAATATAAAGTATTCCCTACACTCATGTAAGAGAAAATAAAATTATGATTTCTCACAATGTCGAGAATTAAACTGGCTTAAAATGATCAGTTGGACTTCTGTGTAATCAGTCATGATTACACAGGCAATTATCTAATAATTGTGTGCTGCAAATATTTGTCTCCGATAAATTCAAACATGTTAGACTTTTCGAGATGGATGACTTTATTATTGTAATTTACTGAAATGCAAATTACCCTAAAAATCTGCAACAGTAAAATCCATCTCTTTGAAGTCGGCCTGTGATTAATCTATATTCAGATAAAGTAAATAATTAACTAATCTCTGTATTTATTGTTTCACTCCTAAACATCTGGACCAAATGTAATATATTAAATTAAATATAAGGCAGTAGCAACTATATCAAAGAAAAACAATCTTTGTGTTACTTTTTTCTTTGCTTTTATGAGTTTTTTCTTCCCCCAGGTTAAAAGCAAACAGGATTACTTCATACATTCCAAATATGCACAAATATATATGGATCTTCTAATAAAAGCATAGCATTGTCTGATATATTCATGTTTTTATTTATGGATGGTGGAACACACCATGTTCAAAGAAGAAACATTTATTAATTAATGTTGTTTCTATACCAAATATATAAAACACATTTTTTCACCACCAAAAATACATTTTTGAAGCCCAACACAATGACGATGCATGTCTTAGGATACGCTGTCAAACTGTGTAGAGTAGGCAGAACAGGAAGACCTAAGCTGTTATTCCTACTTTTGGCCACAAGATGCCGCCACTTTTCCTGAAAAAAACTTACACCACCTGCGTGCTTGATGGAGGTTTTTCTTCCTGAGAAAACCACAAATAAAAACAAAAGATCACAGATTTATCTTATCATTTTGAATTACTCTCATTAGCGTTAAATATCGAATTAAAGACTATCTGAACAATGACTGTGACTTGATTTCTTCTTCTAACATTGTACTTGGGTAAAAAAAAAAAAAGGATTTTCTTCAAATTGAATGCCAATTATTCATCAGAATTCTGTTCTTCATTTTTCTTTCCTTAATTTGCTAATCTGTCTTTAAACTATATAAAAGACAGGTTCAATATCATTATGGAGAATTGGCCTAGTGGTTAGTGGTTTGATCCCCACAGCAGTCACTCTGGGGCCCTGAGCAAGACCCTTAACCCCACACTGCTCCCCAAGGTGATGGTTTGAATGCAGAGAGTGAGTTTCTCCACTGTGATATTAATAAAGTTCAATTATTAATATGGATTTCTGTCATTTTGTAAATGCATAAATCCCAGAGAATTCAAAGCCCTGGTTAGGGCATAGGGCTTTGAATCCTGAGGTTGTGAGTTCGATCCCCCACTCCCACAGACTGCCACTCTGGGTCCCTGAGCAAAGACCCTTTATCCCACACTGCTCCCCGGGCGCCGCACAATGGCAGCCTACTACTCCCCAAGGGGATGGGTTAAATGCAGAGAAGTAATTTCCCTCTGGGATTATTAGAGTATATAAATAAAAAAATAAAAAAAATCTAATGACTGCTGGATTTCTGATACACTTTTTAGAATTTAAATGTAGGCCTAATCCATATGTATGTAAACAACAAAAACAAAACACTAAATACAAATAATAACAATAATAATAATAATAAACTAAATCAATCAATGTCAATTTTTTTTTTTATTCAACAATTGCACAGTTTACATGAATAGAAGAACATTCTTCTCCATTGTGAATATAATACACTGTACAGTATCCAACATTGCTGGTGTTTTAACATAAAACATAAATGAAGATTTACATCATCACATTTTGCCAGGGAAAGTACAAATTTATAAACCTATATTAAATTGTTTACACACATTTACAGTTTTTGTTGCCTTTTGATTAAGAGAATCCTTAAACGTGTTGACATATTGCTTGACCTCATTGTTAAAAGCAATAAAAGACATTTTGGAATGTGCAACCTTACATTTATGAATGTAAAACTGTGCCAAGAGAATAATCAGATTAATAATGAAAGTTTAATTTGGTTTTAGTTTTAGAAATGTTGCGTTCATAAAGTCCAAAAAAGGACATCCTTCCAAAATAACTTAAAATCTTTCTCATTTTTTTCTGAAATAAACTTACAAATGTGAGACCAGAGATTTTGGACGAAAGTGCGATGCCAAAACAAATGGGTTATGTCAAATGTTCTTGTTTCCTCTCCTCTCTGAGGTGCTCTGTCCCTTTAAGGATCCTAAGCACGGAGAGCGGGATTCAAACTGAAGCCCCGCCCCTTTTCTCTTTTATTAAACAGAAACAGGAAACAGAAGAAATCAAGCAGCCAGAACAAAATGGGGGCATCCCTGGACACTCCAGCGAAGTGTCTTCTCTGTGACGTTACGACCCCAAATCCCGTCACTCTGAAATGTAACCACCGCTTCTGCAGACGATGTATCGGAGACTTGTGGAGCGTTAGCCCGAACGGACCGTTCCACTGTCCCGAGACGAGATGTAAGGTTGTATATCAAACCCTTCCGTTTGATAAGAGCTTCATACGGACGCAGCCGCCAACATCGAGTCGACAGTCGTCTCCACGGAGTGCTGCAGGTAAAACTGGATGGAGACGTTACAATTTACGATAAACTCAGGGTTTCCCTGGTAACCAAAGGAAGCTAACCTAGCTAAGAGGTCGTAGATTAACGTGCAAAGGTTGCTGGGACATTTCTACCAGCTTGTAACAAACATGACATTCCTCAACAGCTTAACATAAATATGCTAAATACAGTATTGTTCATTTTACGGTCTGAGTTAACGTCATAAACCGTAAAAAACAATGTAATAAACCATTCAGTGTTAAAGGTGCTTCATATTTAATGAATGTTTTTCCCAGTTAGCCGGTTAGCAAAGAAGCAATAAAGCACAGGAGTTAATAATTGATCCAACTGTTGGTTTAACTCACAGCAATGTGGTTCTGAAAGTACTTAATCCACACTTTAGTTGATTCAATCACGTCTTGAACCCTTGTAGTTTGTTGACAAAATAAAAAGACACATAAATAAGATTGAAACAAAGAAAATGTGATTAAAAAAAGGAGTAAAAAATGACTGAAAACTGCAGATTCATCCACATTACCTCCAAAATGTTTTGGGACGCTTTGGTTAAATCAGAAAATCATATTGAATTCATTTTTTGGTGGGTGTTCAAATAAAATAAAATAAAATAGATCCTTGGTTTTTTGTTTAAAAAAAAAAAAACACCTAAGTAATAAATGATTAACTAGTAATCTATTAAGTTCATCTTTCTGTTCTGAACAGGATGAATGATTATAAATGTCCTTAATTTCAAAGATCTCCTACAGGTATTTTAATGTGATATAAATATTCCCTATTTAGATAAATGACTCTTTATTTTAAGGCCTTTATGCATCTTTAGCAGGTTTGCCC